ATGCTAGAACTCATGTAGCTAAAAGAGCGAAGTTTCCTAGTGGTGTATATCTGGATACTTTGAACCGCTAGCGTTCTTACGTTATCTAATTGATCTTGTCACTGGACGATCTATTCCTGTTTACACACTGTTGAAATTTTATATTCCTAAATTTGAACGTATCTACCTTCACTGACTAAGACTCAAATCATTATTATCGGTAACTCAGTCGTCCAAAACGAGGCATGCTCAAACAGATTCGAACTATATTTAGTTCGCCACAGAGTAAAATCAACGTTACAATGGGTTTTCTAATACGAAACTATATCTATTTGTGGATAAAAATACGCCCATTCTAACACGTTGGACTCTCATGCACAGTACCGTATTTCAGAGTTCGCTCCATGTTCTGGACAAGCCACTACCCATTTTGAATACATTCTTATCGATGTCCATTCTTAACGGTGTATTTATGTTTTAAATTTTCTCATCAAAAGTAGCTGAACTAAAACCAGCTTGGAACCCTGATCTCTCCGCTATTTTTTAGCGCCTTTAAACACGCGACGCAATGCCTGGTTTAAATCTAAGATCTACTCACAATTCCAATGTTTGGCTGGTGATTCTCACAAAGCCATACCTATCCGCAAAATGGCTCTTCTGTTTACCCCTACTTAAGTTATTGACCCACTAAAAGCTTTTTTTTTTTACACGCAAAAGAAACGTTAACACCATCTTCCGTACACTCTACAGACCTTCCGCCGCTACTGTTCGTGGCACAGCCATACAAATCGTCATTTCGACCTTTTCCACACGCGAAATATAAACGTTCTATCAATAGCTACCGACAACTGTGAAAAAACGCTCTGTTGTATTTTGTTTTATCTCAACATCGTTAAAGACAAAAACACAGGTACACAAGCAGCTTAAAACACTTGATGCTATATTTAACTACTTTAGTATTGTTTTTATAAGCAGACTGAGTGGGCTCAAGAACAGAGCCTTCTCGCTGGTAGGCTACAAAAAACTCTTTGTGTTTCTTTTTTCACGGTACTAGATTAAATTATAATTTTAAAACAACTTGTTTTATTTAGATTTTTACCGTTCTTAAAAAAATCAACCATGTGTATAAGTGTTTTGTGTATTGTTATTATTATTGTGTGAAAATCCCAGCTCCGTTAGAATATCCCTATGAAACGTTGCCCCGCCCATGCGACCAGTTTAACAGACTGGCGTCGGATCATTTTACAAACGCTTTCAGTTAACAAGCAATATTCGGTAGGGCAACTTCTGCCGGAAAAATTGAGCAACGAATCTATATGCTCATGTCTTCTAATACTCATTGAACTTATAATCGAGATAGACAATACAATGGCACTTTTATTTCGTCCATAACAAGTTGATAACAAGATTCAAGCCGGTACCTGAGTAGCTGTCTGGTTACGTGCGTCTAGTATCCAGCAGCATATAGGTTAGAAATCGACTTACTCCCTTTTGTCTCTTACCTACGACCATCTATTAGCCTAAAGTTTGCATAACTTTGCCCCCGACGCCGTACATGATTACGATTACTAGTGTTGGTAAAATAAGTTACCATCTAAAAGGACGCGGCCTAATTTTATGAGGAATAGACGATTAACTTAGCTACGTTCTGTCCTAGTAATAGGTTAACAGGTTTGCAACAAATGCAACACAGCCTGCCGTCGAAGAGCTATTCTATATCAATACGGTACTGAACAATTCCATCATTTCAGTAACGCATTCACGACATCTGAATATTGCACACATGTTCTAATTTGACTGCGTCGATCACCGAAATGCCCCTCTAATCGTAGTACGCACGGAATCACTTCGTTTGTGCGGCTGATTGTTATTTGGTCACAAATCCAACCGCCGTATATAACGTACGTCTTCACTAAAGACCGTAAATCTGTGCAATCTACGTTGGCATAAAAGGTTATTTTTATCTACACTATGTCATTTTAAAGGGGAAGGAGTTCCTGCACAGCCGAGCGAAACACGTTAGACACACGTCTGCGATGATCCTTTCGCGAAGAGAGGAAATCTGTTCTTCTATTTGGTACGTGTATTAGCCATGGATATCTTCGGTGAACGACGATATCATCTGGCGCAACAGCGTCCACGAGCCGCCTAATATAATTGTGATTATAATTGACTAATTATAAAAACTTCCGCGGGCATAGCAATCACAACTATTTGACACTATTATTCCGCGTGGTTATGTCCACAAGCGCACACTGTTATATCGTAAATGTCTGTGTAGCAGCTAGTCGACATTACGAAAGAATATCTGGTAGATTATATGGAAAAAAAGTCAAAACTTTCTTTGTCCGAGACCTCCCCCAGACCGCACAACACCCCTCTGTTTATTTATCTGTATTCGAATGGATCTGCACAGCAGTTTCATATGTCTCTTTTTCTGTACAATCCAATAACTAAACTTTCCTCATCCCTATGAGTTCCTAGAACAACGTCAGAGATCACTACAACCTCTATATATATAGCAAATATACATAAGTGGTATAGCTATTTCTACGCGATTTTGACACTAAATTGAAATTTTTCTACTCAGTAAACTAAACCAGCATTCAGGAGGACTCTAGTTGAATCTATGAGTTTGTGTTGCAATTATGAACGATGGAAAGTAAGAAGAAGTTGTCAACAAACGTATTAGACGGTGGCGTGTCTACGGCATCCAATGAGAAATTACTTTCTAGCTTCACAATAAACAGCTCCCCTTCGCGTTGCTAACATATCGTCGCTTGGTAAGCAAAACACATTCATTTGTTAATTCTAGATATTTACGGGGTCGCTCCAGGTTTGTTTCACGAAATTAAACACCGATCTATGTTTAGTGGTGAGGCAAATTACCAATTTGCTCTACCACTATACAGCTAATGTCCAAAAATAGGCCGTAGAAACCCTTCGACGACTCTAACAGGCAGTTCATTGTAGCACAAAATACATTTGCCAGATTGGCCTTCCCTAGAATTGCTGTAAGCAGTTTTATGTAGCGTTATATATTGCCTTGGTAGCGTATGACGGGGCAAACATCATGGACACTATTTTCGTAGGCCAAAAAAAATGCCCTGTTTTGAGCAGGCCCTTCGACGGATGTCGCAACGGACATTAAACTTATCTTCGCCCTGACGGGACATTATTTACGTCGGCGCCGTTTCGGCTGACGAGTCAGCCCCCTGAAAGGGCATGGAGGAAAAAGTGGCAGCTATAATGAGACACGAGATTGTTCCTTAACTAACTACTTGGGGTCTAGCAGCCGCCTGTGTACCACACACTGTGTCTTTATTTTTTTATTTGAACCGACTTACTGATTCTATATTGGATATTGGTCCCGTGTGAAAGTACGCTTTATCAGCAAGTTCCACCGATTTCTCCTCTGTGTCAAAACATGACCGTTAGTGCGACTTGGGCAGCCAATAGGCGTATTACACATGGCAATTTGGTAATTACAGCACGACTGTACAGATATAGTTTTTAAGAATTGATTACCCTAAACTGATGTTTTTACAGTAGAAGATACACCTGGTTTCATAAGAGTGTTAGTGGGTAACAAACACCCTATCTCGTACTACTTGTGGAAAAGCCATATCAAGTCCAAGTCAGTCAACCTGGTAAAAGCCGCTGTCATAAAGAGCATCATATTGACCACTAACACGAGTAGTGAATAACAGCATATTATTGGCCCTAAAAAGGAAGAAAACCATATGCTCTTTCTATCTAGATTATATGTTCAAATTGGTCAAAATTATAAAAACGTAAATATTTTATATCTTCCTGAGAACCTACAGCTGATTCAAAAGTCTTCGACGTATCTTGCGTACATTATACATTAACCAAATACGTGGATCTTCTCAAAAGTATCCTAAGTCTGGGTGTCATGTTGCTCGCATCAGTGCAATGGGCCATAAACTTGCATTTATTATACCAATAATGTCCTGCTTTCCTTTCTCGGACCCATGTCTTAACTGGAGGGAAAGAAATACTGCGGATGTCTGCCGTCGGACTCTCTGGCTGCGTTAACTGGACCTTTTACTTTCGCTGTGAATTTATTTTTGTGCAGTTACCGCCATGTCGTCGGTTGCCTATGACATTAGCCTACTCTAGTAGGACAACATTACGACTCTAGGCTCATCGTGTCCAACATGGAGATCTCACGTTGTTCAGGCGGGTCCTTTTGCCAGACTAATGCGACCACACCATAGCGAGTGACAGATGGCCATGTTGGCAGCCCCGAAGATAAACGTTACTTCGAGGACCTAAAGCTACCATCTAACTATAGAGGATAGCGCAATAGTTTCATTAGTTCTTCTGACGAAAGGTTTAATATCTAGTGGCTTTTAGCCACTAGATAATAAACCTGTAGTAAATACAAGGTAAAACTGGCCGACAATTGATAAAACACGATTTGATTGGTGATCCTAGACTCACAATCGGTACGAAGTATAGAAGGTAATTAGCGTTTTTTTTGACTGAATAATTAATCAAGAATCAATATTTACGGTAATGCGCTGCTGTTTAGTGAACTGCGTGTGACTGGTGTGCAGTTTCAACGCACTAAAATGAAATTCAAAGTATCTAAATGTTTCTCCCCTGATCTAGACCATAAATGTGAAAAACTAAAAATTACCTTTATATAAAATTTCCATCGATTTGTTTATATTATATTTTCATTTATATTGTTTATTTTATAAACGCATATAAAAATATGAAGGTTCTTTCTGCTGGGCGCTCTTTAATTTGGTAACATTTTCTGCACTCCTGAGTCATTTTGACGGAATAGCAGACTTCTACGATATTATATAACAGCATTATATGACCAGCGGCAGAGGAGCTCTGCTCAGTATTTTCCAGACTATTCCACCTGAATAAAGCTATGATGGATGGTGATATTACACATTTGTAGGGCTAAGTGTACGGAAGTATGGATTAAACTACGAAAACGATGAAACTTTTCTACTATTATTCGTATTCTTACCCCACAGAGGTTTCCATCATGTGCGACCGGTGTCGTGACGCAGGCAGCAACAGCAGCGTAGAAGAGTTTATCATTCGACCTCAGAAACGTGCGCATAGCGGAGACGTGATTGACTACCATCTTGGGAAATCCTGTGAAGGTCTGTTGTGCACCAGACTAACTTTCAGAGAACCTAACCCCTTTCAGTACGTTCACATGCTTATCATTAGTGCTAAGGTTAGCGTACATATATCTTAAAACGTTGATCTTTTAACCGTTCATATTTTTTGTCTGATAGGAAAACATTTCAGTGTTGCCAAACTAGTTGCCTTCTATTTCTGTTTGCAAATCTCTGTCGTTATATACGTTCTGGAGAATGAAGGACTGTGTTAGACCTATCAGCTCGCCTGTTCGTTGGAACACCAATACTGTAGGCGCTGTGAATACCATTTCAAATCTATTACGGTAAAGGAAATAAACGCAAATTTTGGTAATCAATAGATAACCAATTATCTAGATCTTTTCAATCTATGATATATGACGACGATATCGTAGGTTATCTTAGGGTAGGTGAAGGAAAGTTTGCTACGCTCATTTAAAATCACTTAGCTATAGTTATTAAGTATTACTGAACCATGGAATATTTTTTGAAGAAACTATTCTTAAGCAGGTAGTAGAATCTTGATTCGTAATGATGTTGGCCGTGCTTTTCTATGATCTGACATATAGTGAACGAAAATGTTATAGGATCTAACTGACATGATCATTTAAAGAACGTTTAGCGTTCCATATTCAACCAACATCTCAAAACGTTTCATAAATTCTGGAGTCATCTGAAGGATCTACAAAGAAATACCCAATTACGCATTGTATATGATAGCGAAAAGTGACAAAGCCCTTAAGCTTGATGAACTACCATAGTTAATAAAGATAAAAACCAACGTATCGCATAGTGGCGTATAAGTAGATTTTACATGGTTGACCTACTTCTCTCACCATGACATGCTTCAATCTGGCCCCTACTGTTGCAAAAAAACCGTGAAATTATAACATAAACACTGCACTCGTCAGCTCGAAAGCCAATGAATGTTAAGTTACAGATTGGTACCACCTACCTTTTAGGTAACTATAGATCACATCGAGTGTACGAGTTATCGAGAAAGGAGCGTCTACATTTTATTTATTCTTATTAGCTTTACATGATTACTATTAATTTGTTTTATCATTAGTATCATCTCTCTCCTCATAATCCTCTTCCTCTTTCATAATCGTTATTACTTCATGTCTACTATAATAACTTTCCATTTAATTTTTTCTAACTATTGTTACTATTATAATTTTTATTATTATGACTACTTTATTATTCCTTCGTCGCCGGGTGTTTCTTACTCGTTGTATATCGACTACTACTTAAATCCCAACTTTATTCGCAGATCTTCATTTAGCATTGTCTACTATAGGAAATGGTCTACGTTTTCCCACTCAGTTCTGTGTAGTCTCGCCATCAATAGGATTAGCATAAACGGTGCCGACGACACATATTGGTGAGCAATGCGAGACCTTGCTAGCTTAGCTAGCTCGTGCTAGTTCCTACAGTGGGCGGATCGTCACATTGTGACAGTCGATCGCGTCTTCATTAGACTTTGCTTGTCCGCGTGCCCCATTCTCCCAACCTTTGCCTACGTCGACCTGTCGAACGTGTCCATGACTGTACTATTCATGTATTTGCCATTATTCGGTTTTTTCATTTGCATCTCAAAACCTTTTTCCTTCATATCAGGTCCAATATACAGGTGATGGAGCCATATGTAACGATAGATAGCTATACAGCTGTAGCAATCTCGGTAACGATTATCCTATACTATTTTCACCAGGAGTTTTCAGCGTAGCCGTTGCCACCTGGTAGCGTAAACACTCACAACGATGAATTCAGCAGAAGGTTGATGCATCTTTTCGTCAATTTCGTAGCCAGCCAATGAATATGTTGGATTCTCATCATTGGTTTTGCAATTATCAGTTATTCAGTCATCTGCACGCACTGTCTCTTATAGTTGCTCGCGTAGTCTTTTGCTGTTACCATACAATTAACAGGTGATTATTTTTCTCTGATGTTATGGTATGGTATACTTTGTCCTATTTTATCCTCCTGTCCTAGGGTTATCGTAATTATTATCCGCTATGATCTCTACTAGCGTATTACTGAGGGGTTATTTGCAAGGATTAGATCTCCTACCCGAACGCACGCACTTTCGTCCCGTTCATCCAGTCGTTAGCCTGATAATTTACAGCGCACCGTTTATCTAATTGGTGTATATTTCTAACGTCACTTAAACACCATCGAGGACGCGCCATTAGCGAGTTAGTTACAGCCATGTTTTTTGGTTGGTGCCGCTCACTGATGTAAATATCATCTCGTGCACCTGCGTAAGTGTCCTGTCAATCGTGCTACTTCTATCCACTTCGTTTCTAATATATCCATTCGTTTTATTCTCAAGCAACAATCAGAGAAAAAAAAACTAGCGAGATAAATACATCAAATCATTTGCACACATCCACCCTTCCTGATGACTGAGTATATTTTTTTTAACTGCTGAAAAACTTATGTACTTTTAGGGAATTTCCATGTAAACTTACGTCTGCCGCAATCATTAGACCTATTGAATAACAACAATGATTTTGTCAATTTTCTTTCTTTCTTTCTTTCTGTCGTTTAGTGTACGATTTTGTACATTTGTGACTACTGATTGCTTGGTTCTATACTGAGTCTATAATACGTAAGCACCGTCCAGTTTTATTGTGACTTTGCAAATAATCGGTCACGGACAGGTCTAAAGTCGATTTAGGTATTTTATCAAATACCATTGATGAACAATAGGAGGATATGGAGGTAATTAGTTCCTTTTAGCGTTGCGACGTCAATCGGTGTGACCGTACCCTGACTCAAATAATCACTCATAAAACTATGCCGCGTAGGTCCTCGTTTGACTTATTGTCAATCATTCATGAACTTCGAAAACCGTTCAAAGCTTACGCTAGATCTCGTTGCATGCGGCGGGACCCCGCACCACTCTCGTCACCTTCCGTAAACACGGCCTCTTGCATGCATTTTTTGCGTTCCCGTCAGCCTTACGCCACGCCTATGTAGATCATCTGCAAATTACGTAGGCGTATCCTACGCCCAGGCGGTAGTTCAACCGGGTTGCAAGTCTGGTCACTACCCTTTATACTCGTCCTTTGTATCAGAAAATGCGTCACAATTCGCCTCGAACATTAATAATAATATAATTAAAAGTTCGTCTCTGTTCGATTTTCAGTAGAGAGAAAAATACGGTATGCGCGATTGTTCGCACTTAATGAGTATTGTATACGCTACGTACTACATATAATAAATGATTCAAGTAGTAGTGCTATAATTAATTATAATTCTTTGAATGTTTTAACAATTGATTACTGTCGTCTGCATCGGCATTATCATATGTATATATATATATATATAGTAATCTATTATAGGTTCTTATATACAATTATAGTTTGAACAATGGTATGTTCAGTCAGTTATATTGCAGTACGTTGTTGTAGATGTTATCTGCGTTTACACCTCTAACGAAAGAAGAGGTTTTCCATTTTTCCTCGCTGTCTGCCTTTGCCTATTAAAATCCAATGTATAATATCCTTTCCCACTGAGTACTTAATAAACCATCGAACTGGCTCCAGTTTATGTTTAAGCTGCACCATAAACACATCCATGTTCCTGAGGGGAACAGCAGATACGACTCGAGCTATTTTAGCATTCAAGACGCATGAGCAGAACTTCATTTCATATTAGGAACGTCTGAGTACTGATGCCAGCCTAGAGAAGATTCCCATTAAAAATATTTGTGGCTAATATCTGTAGCAGCACAACTATCATCAGGAGCCATTGTTATTATTATAACCGCTTATTGCTATTGATATTTGATTTGAGATGCTGTTTTAAAGTCACTTTCTGATCGAATATACAAGCTTTTGCGAATTGAATAAACTTTCGCCCGACTTCTCCGACGTGCATACGGAATCACACACAAATCTTGACGGTATCACAGCGCGTGAGCATTGAGCAGAGCTCGTTGATCCCCTGTTAGCGAGATGGATCTCGAACGCTACCGCCTCCGCAGCCCCGGCGTATCATCCCGCTTAATCTGTTTTCATCGTTCCGTCATGGAACGCTCATTGCACGTGTACGCTATTCACGCTACACAGCGAACTATCGTTTTGTCATGTTTCGCTGTGTCACTGTCTTTTCTACCGTTTTTCTATACAGACGTTACGTCAACTCTTAGTTCGTATAATGTGCTTTTACTGATCCGAGATCTGGTTATTGTTCCGCCTTTCAAGCAGCTGAGCACATCACCTGAGCGAACGTGGGCATGCGCATTCTTCAGTCTACATCGGATATTCTTTTCCGATACTGAATTTGCTATTCTCATTAAACTGTCGCTATTTTTTTTGGTGTTAAAAATTGGGCATTGTTATGACAGAGTTGTGACAGAGGAAGGCCCTAGATAGGCAAAAAAAAAAAATTGTTTCCAATTGACGAAAAAGCGTCTATATTTTTTGGTGCAAAGCTTTGATGATTTGCTTAGACATAGCTCAAGAATTCACTGGTGCAAAAATCATCATGATATTTTCAAATCAATGCTCTCAGAAGCTAGACTCGTTTGAATGTCGTTTTGACATTGATCCTTCATCGATATCGTATGGCTTTGATGCATGAAAAATACCAAGGCCGACACGATGAACTTCATAGCGATTAGTAGCAATATTTCGAGCCATTTTACATTTTGACAGGGGAGCCTTGGACGAGGCCTAACAATCGCCATTGAGAATATCAAGTATCCAATTATTTATGCACACATTCCTTAGCTAATATCTTCAAAAAGAAACTGTTCCAGCAATGATTTGAACAGCTTTCGGAGATCTTTGAACGGTGGTGATTAATCAGTAAAAGTGCCTCCATAATTAGCAATGCCATATATACAAATCGATCTGACGCGACCCCCAAACGCGCGGAGTACGAATAGACTCGGTCGTACAGTCGCCACAATACCTGATTAAAAACTTTGTTCTAAGTATAATGTCGTGTGTTAGTTAGCTTGAATCAGCGTTTATGTCTCAACCGACAAACAATGCAATACTATGAAACTCCACCGGCATTCAAATACTTGGCACCTTCTAAGTTTAGTATAGATCTTAGTTCGGGCAGAACGGAAGAAAGATTCTCCCGTAATGCGTTGCCCGATGTCAGAGAATCGACTGTTCTCTAAGTGCTACCTTGCTTCTCAAAGCTGCTTAGTTACAAAGTGATTATTTCCTACGCGCTCAGTTGTCTCTTGATGATCCCTATCGTAACCGTTTTCGAGCTATGCTCAGTTGTGAGATAACCTAGTTAACTAGCTGGCGTATTTCTATCCTATTCAGTTTTTTGCGGAAGACAGTCTGACTAAATAGGTGACAACAATTGATCTGAGTTCTCGATACCTTATGAACGGGAGCAAATTCGCTACGTGGCACCTTCACCGGCGATGTCAAGTCCTGCGACTGATGACTAGCCTGTAACGGTATCCCTCACGTTGTTCCTAGCTAATTGCCCGTTGATTATTATTGCTTGATTCAAAGCCCACAGGTGTGTGTATTCATTAAGCTGATGCATTCTGACCCCTTGCTATTATCCGCTTAGAATTCTCCTTCATTCTACGTTTCAGCCAAGGTATAGCGTTTTTTTTTTCCTAATCAGCGATGCTTGTGCTCTTTGGACGCGTAGAACTGGTTTAAATGGATCAAAACTCGAACGCAATGCCACCACTGGCCCCAAACTTGAACGTTTAAATGTTAGAAGCTGTCATACGAATTTTGCGACTGTAAACAATAACGACTCTCTGTTCCGACCAGCGTAGAATTCAATCGAACGGACACACAGGACTCTGCATATACGTGGTCATAGAACCGATAATCTCTGCCTCTTGGCCAAATCATGTTGGTCCAGTCATTATCAGAGTTACCATTGACTTGAACGCGCACGCTCAGGGAACGAGCGCCCATTCATGTCGAGCTTCGCTATCGTCGCGGCTATCAACCTTATTTCAGCATGTAGTTCATCCAGAGTTTATTATTATATTCAATGTTTACATTTGTTTTTTTTTTTTATAAATAATCTAGTATTTTAATAAATAATATAATAACAATAGTGTAGCAATCTAAGCTCTAACCATGTCGATATGGCTACTGTTGAGACAAAATGATATAGATTAACGATGGCCGACGTATTGGATATTTGCCCCTCTTGGCGTTATGATAATTGCCATACATTATCATAGCTAATTATTGCCTGTACAGCCATTATTATAGTCATTATAATGGAAATGATTTATTATCCGTTCATCTGTTCGTTTGCTTAGGATAGAACACAAGCGGTGCTTGATACGCGAATTTCTGTTGTTTCATGCAGTTATACTGTGGTCGCCGTCGGCGTCTGAGTAGCAGCGTTCAGACATTACTGTCATCCTGTTCGAGTATCGACTATCATCTATTAGATATATACATCATCTTCCCTAGAGAAGAATCCACTATTGTTTGAATAGTATTTAACAGATGCAAAACAAACTTCTGTATTGTTGCTAGATATACACATGTACTAGGTGGTTGAACATCTAGTCTTTCGTTTGATTCACACTTTGCAAGATGCGCTCAGCAAGTGACTTCGGCATCGTCATCGACAGCGTTACTATTATAACCATTGCTTACAATCATATGAAAACGGTAAAAAGGTTGCGCGGGGCGCTCGATTCTATTTCCTATCGAAGTGTCTTGTCACTAAGTTTCAACAGATCTGATAACGCGATTGACGTCAACATAACGATCCTATACTACATATCCTCGTGCTGCTTCTAGGTTTTTATGTCCATAGTCGTGCATATTTGTGCTATATGAATTGTACAAGATAGATAGTGTAATTACATCGATCCAATTAGACAATAGGTCTTTAAGAATAATGTTATATATTAGCCCGACATGAGACATACGGACAGACGGTTCAATAAAATAGGTAAATTAGCCAAGTCGTAACGTCATAACTATACTTACATAAAATTTAATAGTTCGAATAAGAAACGCGTAAGAATCGAACGCCTAAATGCAAGTAGAGAACCAACGGTTTACATATCATGGTTACAGAAACACTACATGTTACTAATCCACTGTTAACGTCAGAGAGTTATTGCTTTTAGCAAAAAAAAACTTCTAACACAATAGTTGCAATACGCTTCTTTCTCTACGAGAAATTAATATTTTCGTACGAAACTACTTTGCAATCGTACAGTTTGTCGAACAAAAAAACTGTGTGGTCGTCTTGTTAATTACGCACATTTAGAAGGACAGTGTACGGGTACTTGCAAACGATTGTCGTATAGAAGCGTCCTCTGGCGACGAAGAACTATCCCAAGAATAATTTCGAAAGGAACAAAAAAGCGGGTCCGTTACGAACAGAACGAAAATAACAGCTAAAATAATACGATCTATATTTTGTTAATGACATTCAACATGTTTTCTCGGCTTGTACAACCTAGTGAGTGGCTTAGTGGCAGCGCTGAGACGGATCTCCCAAGTCCTTGAACCACCAGCGGTTATCACGCTCGATTTATTGTTATCACATTGTCACCGGATGTTAAGATGCTCATAAACTAGTGGGATTCTAATGACAGAGATCATTAACATGAATAATGTTAAGGCTGTTAAAACCTAACTGTAGGCTATAAATGACGAAAGTGCGAGAAACCTAGAATAAGTCCATGTGCAGTAACCAGTTAGACCTAAAAACGTACACACTAAATCAGATGCCAATAAACGTCGTCAGAACATTGCGCCCAAACCACAAACTCTATTATTTAACGGCGCTAATTATATCACTGTAAATCATCATTTTATACGTTTTCGTTGTAATACAATGAGACAAAGTTCCGCCGAGAAAAACTTTTGTCTATTTTCACTGCTACTGATGGTAAAACTGCCACCACAACTTGCGATATTCATCCATTTGACGCACAACGTCCTTATTATTATTATTGTTATTATCAGTAACGGTCGATTTGTATAACAGCATTGCATTTTATGCTTGCGATTTTTATGTACGTGTACAAAAATCATCTCATTCGGTACCATTTTATTATATGACATAACAACACACATGATATACATAACGCAAGCACATTATAACGCGGAAACAACCCTGACATTGTCACATAGTGGTAATATTCTCTCTGTTGTCAGGTAAATTTTCTTAGTTCAAGTTCATCTTAAAGTTTAAATCAAAATTTATCAGATTCATTCACCCGTTTAAAGGCTCTATGCAACTCCATTATACGACCCCGTGCCCAGATTTACCCGCCTATAACAACGAGTGAATAAACGCCATTCACTCAAAGTCATTCGATCTTCCGTAATTGTTTCCACTCGTGTACTTGTCCTCATTAGCTTAGCTATAAGCATGTGTGCACGGATAAACTTTCAGAGCAAAGTATCCCTAAGGGCTCGTTTAGAACAGAATTACAGTGACCTTTATAACCTGCTGGTAAACGCTCCGCGCAGAAAAATTGTTTACATTTATTGAAATGTTTCCATTTACATTAACATCTCATAACGATTCTGCACGTTGTAGAACAGTCATAATTCGCTACAACGTTAGTAGTACTTTCTATCACTTCTAGGATAGATCGTTGCGTCAGCCGTTCCCATACCTACGCAACGTTTCGAGCGTGGAGCCCTTCGAAGCAGGACTATGGACGCTGTCAACTGTAGGCCTGCATCATGCATTGAAGTGAATTATAACGGCAATGACGGGCCATCGCTATACTTGGGACGATAGGTTTACTGTACCGACGAATCAACCGCGCATGAGCTAAGAATCTTACCTGATACCAAATACATACGCGTATGTGCAGTTAACAGAAAGGAGACTATGACGAGACTTCAGACATCTCAAGTACAACTTTTTTTCGTAACATATCGTACTTTTCCTATCTAACTTGTCATGGTTCATCATGGTGGCGACGTCTTTTCGTTTTCGCCTTATAAATTCAGTTTTATGCAAAAAGTTTTACGCAAGTACTTTCCGTTGTCGTTTCTTGTATCTCACTCAATGTTATACAGTACTCACAACCCAAACATCACTTCCTCAGATCACCTTTTAGGTTGAAGCTGTTTCTTTCTCCACGTTTCTCGAGAATAAAGATGGTTAGTTCGAATCCTGAGGGACATCACACCCGATCTCACTATGATTTTATAGACTAATCAACTCAGAAAATTATACTCACGCCTTGTTAATACTCAATTTTTCAACGATCAGGTCATTTATGACGACAGATTTTGCATGTTTGGGGTATGATGGCCATTTGGCGTACGCCGTGTTTTTCTTTGTCATGTTATTATATTTTCACCGGCGTTTACTAGCGTGTCCCTAGTTGTTTCGTTTCTATATCTTTGTAAATTTGTTTTCTAATATGTACTTGTTCTTGATTTGTTTGAACTTTGATTTTAAACAATTCATTCTTTTCTGCTCCGGCACGATCCGCTTCCCGACCCCACCGAAGGTCAATGTCTATCTAAATACTGGTAAATAGGACACGGTCCTCGCTCGCTCCATGTTTTGGTTTTCCGTTACCTTGCATCCAACATCAGTCGATAGCTTGGTCCAAATCCTTATTTCAACGTGACCTTGGCGGGGTTCGCATGAGCACTTGTCTTCGCAACAACAACAGCTACTTCTAGTAATGGATGTAGATTTAGAGAGATTCATCATTGTATGGTGTTAATTGTTGAGGCGGGAATTTGTGTACAGAAGGATATTGATTTAGTTTGGCTGACAAAAGTAGATGTCTTTCGGAAAATACAAGCGAATATTCGTTGCAGAAATAAGATGAAAAAGATAGATACAACCTGATTGAAGCAACCAATCGCTTCTACAAAACAGCAGCAGTATTCGCACTGGTGGGGACGGAGTTTATACATCTACCCAACCGACCAGCTGAGGCAGATCGTGCTTATATTGCGTGTAACGAGCGGTTTTAGACATATTCGATAGGAGGTAAAGGCTAAAACACAACTTTGAAAAAAATGGCTAAGTAAACATCGATATGTAGAATATAGGAAAAAAAAGCCGAGTGAAAATCGTCACAAGAAATTTTGTAGCTTTTAGATGTATAAGCATGCACTTCTGAGACATATAAACGTCTGGTCACTTGTGTCATGTTCCTATCACCTACAAATATGGGTGAAAAATGGGCCGGTAGACAAGCCTACTTAACCGATAAAGACAAATGCATTACTGTGCTCTATGTGTATTGCTAGCTGACTAAACCATCTATCCACAAATTGTATTTGTAAGAGTACCGCAAAAAATTGGTATAGCGAAAAGATTTAAAGCAGAAAGGATACAAAGGCATTGGCGGGAAGAGAGATACGTGGGGCTGAGGCTAGGCGAGGGGTCGGGGAGACAGACCAAAGGGAATGAGATTGGATATAGAAATGCTGTTGGGGAGCACTGCGTCTGTGCGAGGCTGAGGTTACACTCATCGGAGCTTGTCTTGTGTACAGTTCACGAGGGTACAAAAATAGTCTGGATCTCGAGGACTGTAGTGCGCCTCGTAGCTTGTGTCCCTCGTCAGATGATTAAATGGGGCCCGTTGTGAGATGTGCGTAATAGTGTGCGCCGCGTAGGCGCCTTGCCGACTCTTAATCGAGGCCGTCCACTCGGATGGCGGTAATGAGTCGAGGATAGCTCGGACGAGTGCAACCTTTAGTGGGAAGCGAAACCGATGCCCAAAAAAAGAAGGCGCCAAGGGCGCTGGCGCAGGAATTGGCAGCGCCGGTTGCGTCGATGGTCGCGTCTCTATCTGCGATTGGGCCTGCAACTGTTTGAGTGCTTCGCGAGCGTAGCCGCTCAGATAATGAATGGGCAGATGCAAGTTCGTTTTGCACAACATGACCATATCGAGGACGCCCTGCACCCGAAGAAGCTCGTTGACAGCTGTGCCGAGGTCGGGAAATGATCGTAGAGGTCCTGCTCCGCGGAAGAATGGCGCCAACTGCTCAGCACTGGCGAGCTCGAGACCGCTGAATATGTGCAAATAATCTCGCTGCAACTTTTGGAGACCCATCTCAGCAACAAGCGTTAACGGCGTGACGCCTTGTAACGTCGGTTCGGAACAGAGTTGTGCGGACATATCACGTAGCACTTGCGCCATCTGTGTGTGATTGTTCGGCGCTACGTACGGTTTGATTTGGCCACTCGACACCTGTATCGAAAACAGTTATATTAAGTCTCGAATAAAAAAAAAACTATGACTTATGGTGACAGCAAGTTCTTTAAAAAATGTCTAATTGGACAGACGCTTTAATATATGCTCCATGTCGTGCAAAATTACAGCAATATGACATCGGAATTATAACAATTACTATCGATCATAGATGGAGGAAAGCATATCTTTAGGACAATTGATCTCATGTTGGCTAAGATGGGTTTATTTGTTAAATGTTAAATATTAAATTATCCAAAAACCACAAGTGCGTTTCTATGTGAAACATTAGTTGATTAAGATGAAAGAGTTAAGATGAAAAAAGCAATGGCGCAGCAATCTCTTAGTTTTTAGTAATTTAATAGAGATATGTCTGCCAGGCTTCAGTCCGCTATATTCTTTTTAAATACCCTTTTAACTAATCGCTTGACAACATATCATACTATTAAGTTAATACACTTCTGGTGCTCACTGGTGATCCACTAGTAGCTGGGAAAACCTAGTTCTAGGTGATAACTAAATAAAGAGATTTCCTATAGCAATATATTATAAAAGCGAGGCCAGCCTACTTGACTGAAGACGTACGACAGAGCGTCCTTGAGCTCTTGATAGTTGGCGCACCCATAGATGATTGTCCACAGTTCATCAGTGAAATCAACCGGCTGCCTTTTTGAGGCAACGACAGTTTCAAGACAGATATTAAAATCGGCCATGTCCCAAGCAGCGTCAAGTGCTGATTGTTTAACATTATTTGTTGGACGAATAACGCCTACCCGCGCACTCTGTTCGTCAAAAAAAATAAACATAATTCTGTTAAATCGAATGGTTAACGGCCATTAGGCGACTATGCTAGCAAGATCTCAAACTAGACAATATAGTGAAATATAATTAGCATCAACATCTAATAAATTACTTTAGGCTGTTACAAATTAATCCAGCGTATTTTGAAAATGCTAATTTGGCTAAGGTTATGTTGGAAGATGTTAGGGGTGTTTTGCTTTATTTTTTTACAAACTTCTCCCAGCGCCCTGGCAGCTTCTGTACAGCCATATACCGACCACTTGCGTTTCTGAATTTCGTTACCGAAGTAAATCAACAGCGCGACATGCTTGCCGATCAGCTGCCCTTTATAGTTTTGGACAATCCCGTAATTAGATCGAGAGAAGAAGTGCATCCAAGACGTAATTGAGGCGTGGAGATGAGGTCAGGCGTTGTCATCAACCAGACTTAGTGTTTTCGATCCAACGATCAATGGGTCTCTTGAGAAATCAAGATAGACTAAATTCATTGTTTCATTTGTGGCAAATATCTCAGTACACATATGATATTCTTTTCTGGCAGATGCCATTGATGTCTATTGCAGGTTCTACTATCACCGTACTTCTGAACCTACTCGACGCTGCCACCGAATTTCTTTCCAGGTCGACGCCATTCCCTCGTCTGGGAGTAGAGATTAAACCATGCCTTGTCTGCGGCGACCGTACGTTTAGTATTGAGGTTACAACTCGATAGCATGTTACATGTGAAAGGCGAATTTTGTCCAACGAAGTCCTTTTATTCTAAAATATGTTTTCGCAAAGACCCTTGATGCGGCAAAACATTATTGTCTTTCGTATACCGACATCGAATTTTTTCAACACGTCAGTTTCCCAAGATTCGCTTACTGTGCTCTCGTTTAAGATCGCCTTACCGAACGTTTTTACCAGTCTTCAATGAAGTTCCACAGCGCTGTGGTCTTCGAGAAACAAAAACTTAACCACTAAGTGCTGATTTTTGAGATTAGAAGGTGTTTTTTTCTTCGGAACTCATATTTTCTGGAGCTAACTTGACCGATTTTTACTCACATGTTTCTAGAAAGCTAGAGTATTTAGCCACACAAATTTTGCCTGTTAGCATTTTTACAACGTTATTCAATTTAGAGTTCGCCGGACTCCCTTGTAGCAGTCTAATATATATTTATGTAGAAGTTTGGCTCTTCTACAGCGATATAAGAATACAGCACAATGGAAGTATCTTCTTAATATATACCTTTATGGGCGCTTTGATGAGAGCTTAAAGTTGTAGTAGAATTGTTTTTGAGCGTAAAACTTACCTTGCAAAGATTTTTAATTTTCTCCATAAAGGGGGGGAAAGAAAAGTCTTTCTGCCACGCCATTTCGCCTGAACTTAGGCAACTGACGAGATTCTGCATATGCTGTAGTTCCTTGAAAATGGACCGACATGGCGACTTCTCGTTGCCTGGCGAAATCTGTACCGTCAAATGGCACACAGCATCGATCACAGGGGCTTGCAATAAATGGGTTGCCCGACCGTTCCAGCAACAGTCAATCTGCAAAAGCAAGCCATGAGAAATCACTAAGTAATACCTCTATTAACGAATTATAAATAAGGCTATTTTAGAGTAAATATTGTTGAATTTTTATACAAATTTAAATTGTACAAAAAAAGTTTTGAAAAAATCTAAAAATAATATTGTGTTTCATTACATACACCTGTATTGCCTAGTAGTGTTGCATTAGATGATAAGACTCCACGACCTCTAACGTTTAAATTACCTGCATGATGTCATTGGCGCTCGAAGCAAATCGGGGCTCGGAAAGCGAATAGATGTTAAGGACGTCGTAGCGAGAGGAGAGCTGAGTAGTCGTGTGGCAGTGGTGCTGGGACAGACCCCAGAAATGCTTTCGTAAAATGCACCCATATGTCGGCAAATCCTGTTGTGATCAATATAATCATTCGATTAGATAGAACCTAATTAAACATCATAGGTAAACATGTGAACTTAACACATAGACTTTGTACAAAACAACTTTGAACAAAAGTTGTAACTTAGAAAGTTACAATCTTTTCGAAACCTAAACCCATCACGCTTTATAAATGCATAACTAGCACATGTATTTTGCATTGTTTACGGTTTTATGGTAAATCAAAATAAAGCGAGCAATATATTAGATGAACATTAGGAACTCGTGACGAAAAGTATGTTCACTTTTGACTCAACGGGTCCGCGGCATGTGACGACCACTCTAGATGCGACTCCCTCGGCTCGATGTTGGCCAAGAAAGGCTGTATACTGTGGGTCGGCACCATCGCACGGAATCCACACCGGCGGAACCTGACAAGCAGACAATCGCATTTGATACAATTACCGTAACTGCAATACGTATAATGTAAGAACTTGGCACTGCATACGAAAGACGTGGTATTAGTCACCTGTTAAAATCAGAAGGAGAGCTTGTGAATCAAGCGCACCTATTCCTTGTCTTTATTAGTCAACCCCATTCTAGTCATCTTTTGGGATTGCTATATGAAAAACTCATTTATGACTTAGTACGTCATGGGTGTTTAAGACCTTAACTTTACTGGACGCGAATGGACAACACGACTCGCAAAAAATAGAATGCCGAACGAGATGAAAAGCGTTAAGATAAACGCCTGCATCATAAGTAGTTGCCAAAAAAAGAAGACTTAAATTGTATACGAGTTGTACTAGTCACATCTAAGTAGTATAAGGAAAGTTTGGCAGAATGCCCCGGCCAAAGTGTCATGCGAAAGATTTAACTTTGAAGAAGTTGAAAAGCAACGCAAACTTTTGCACTGACGATTGCCTTTTTGTCGCAGACACTGATTATTTTCAGTGAAATTTTTTCATTGACAGGCGCTAATGTTCACAAATGTTACATTATTAATATTGGTCACAATGAATCACTCGGACAACTAACCCCGTGAGGGTTATCTAGGCCGTCGACTACTCCTTTGATGAGATTTTTATTTTCTTTTTTTTATTTTGATGGAATATATTTTGAAATCTTAAATTAAGCACATCTTGTTCACGTACAGCAATACCGGACGTAAGAGATGCACAATTTATTTATTATAGCATATATATATAGAACTGAAATTAATTTGTCTCTTATGAAATGTTGAAGATACAGATACCATAGTTCATAGCGCTACAGGTTTTGGTACTAATGTGTTAGATCATTTGTAGTCGCATATCTTTTTTTTCCCTACATTAAACGGCCTGTAATATACCCAAATCTAGCTTAACATTTCGCTGTTTCGAAAAGAGAAACCTGTCTGAACAAGACCTACTTTAAAAAAGAGAATAATATACCTATAATTCAGCTATTTATATAAAATGCGCTAAATAACTGAAGTAAATCTTTCGATTTATGTAGCAAAATAAACTAACACGACTTCGACGTAAGTAGCTCTGAAATTTCATGGCTCTGACTGAACATAAATTTACCTGTCTGGGTGGTCCATCGGGTGTGGAAGCGACAGAGTTGGCCAGCACGCTGCTCAACGAATTGAGGACCGAAGTGGCTTCATCTGCGGGAAGGGGTCGCAGCGGTGAGGCGTAGAACGTACCACCGCTTACGCCCGAGGACGATACTGCGGGTACTCCAGCAACTGCACCTGCTACTCTACTATAGAGGACCATCTGTTCCGAGTTGCCACCACCTGAAACCCCGTTAGCGACCGCACTTCTATCGGGGAGATATGAGGACGGCGGCACGCTCGGAGTGCATGGGGAATTTATCTGTAATACGAAAAAGACGGCGGTAAAGTACACGCACACAAGGGTCACGAAACATTGTAATGACATGGTCAATGTTAACTAAAATGAATAGCGCGATACGTCAACGGCACACGTAAGAGAAACTATCTAGAAAAGACATATCAAATGTAGCGAATACGGGACTTCAACGTGATATGATCTATACTAAGTGCCAGTGCTGCAATGAGAGAAAATAAGTTCAGCTAAGAACGTATAGGGGGTTAAAACCAAGGCAGTAGTGATATAGAGTGGACTAGAATGTAAACTTCTAAACTTTGGTGATCTGTTTATCGTAGCGGGCATGCACTTATCTGTTATTTTTTGTAATTGATGAAAATCAATTCCTTTCAGAATGAAACAACAAACTCTTCATAGCGGAAACTGATGCGTTGTTTTCGCACTTCGGACAACAATCCAACTATTTTCAGGTTAAGTTAAGCTATCCAATCCCTTTGCGTCGGGTGAAGCGTCAACGAGATTGAGCAATTTCTTTTTTGTTCCAGAATCTATAGTTTCGATGCGGTTTTTGAAAAACCCAAGGAAAATTTTTGTGAAACAAACCGGAAGAGCGTTTATATTAAAAGGGCTCAAAAACTAATCAACATTGTTAAAAAGAATTTTTTACGTACCCGAATTTTCGGTACTGATATTAACGGCTGTCTTGGGAAAGGAAATAGCCAAATGAGTTGTTCAGATATATAGGAACAGGTAATCCTTCTGAGATTCTTTGCTCCTTTCTGGGTTTTGGTGAACCTTCTGAGCTTTTCGAGCTCTCGTCTTTTTTGGACCTTTGCTATTAGCTGAAAATTCGATTCTGTTGAAATTTCTTGTATCTAGCATATTTGAGAAACCCTTTAAGAAGTTTACACCTACTAATATTGCTCGAGGCTCATATATATTAAGTTCATCCGTAAGAAATGCGACAAACACCACATTTTTCCTAGATGACACTCTTCTGTAACAGTGCGGTATTTCGTATTATTTTGTGTATTCGAGAGTCACTTGTCTCCTTCCAAAATCATAGGCCGTTCACTCCGGCTTTTCGCAAACAAATTATAGATAGCCATGTAAAATAAAGAAAAAAAAAACGAGTGGTTTAAAAGTGTAAATTTTATCCTTCAACTAGCGCAGCAAAAACAGCTTGCCGCATCAACCTTTATTCAATGAAAGTTTTACTACTAGAAGTATCGAGAGCCGTCCGTTCAAAAGATACCGGGAAAGAAATTTTGAATTGGAAAATGGATTTCGTAGAAGAAGAATCAGATTTAGACCTCTGTAAAAATAACTAACAAGGAGTTGAGGGTTAAGGTGAAGCTGGCCTATTTCAAAGTACACTGACGTTGGCATTCAGTTTGGTGTAATAATGATGCAAAAACATCATCTCTATTTGGATGGATACAACTGGACCGGCGGAACGTCGTGCCAACACAAATGTTAGGCTACAAAGGGTTATGATGTCCGTTTGGTGGTTTAATCCAAACGTTTTACGAGCTCCTTTAGCTATTCAGCTTTATGAATCCTAGTTTGTAGATTACGGGTAAGTGTGCTGTTAACAACTGGTGAAGATATCGAAAAAACTCTACATTATGCAGCCAACACTAGAAACTCATTTTTTTCGACACCGCTCAATCTCACACCGCAAGAGTAACGGTGGCAAAAGTGCAGAGGTTTCTGGTGGAGACTCCCTGTCATTCATCATAGTCGCCAGATCATAGTGTTGCTCTTACAGGTGTAAATTTGTAGTTCATTAACGTCCACCCACTACTGTGACCATATACATATTTTGTACAGGATCCATTTTCTATCACAAGTTACGATCCGATAAAAGAGTAGATCACTGCTATGACATGACAGCAAAACGTGTCGACCTTTTCGTTGTTAATTCTCGTTCGAATCGTCCGCACCCATTTGTGAAGTTATTCTTTTGCAGGGGGTGGTCCACGAGACTAAGTCGTAAACTGAAAATGTGTTTCTCGCAATTTTTTGAACCAACAGCTCACGGTGTTTCTAGTAGTAAAAGCCTTACACAATTCAAAATTTAGGCGGCGAGCTGCCTCCGCCGCTGTAATTCCACGATAAAATTCATATTTCTGAACCGCTCAATTTTCTTTGATTTTCTATGACTCACTACGACTCGTCCACTAAAAGCCAGTGATGATATTTCGAGTAACTGGTTTTAGATTTGTAAGAGTACGAATATGTCTTAAATAAAAGGTATCACGAAATGTCGCCCAGTTATAAAATGGTTTCATCCTGAAATATCGGATCAGTGTTTTTCATATTTCACACGTAACGACGCTTTAAGATATGAGAATTTTCAGAAAGTAATGTTCGCCTAATTTTTCAATGCATTGTTTGAAAGCACCTGGTCACCTCTTTCTTACTTCTGTTCAAGTTCCCTCATATAATAAGGAACGTTTCAGTCCGAGTTGGTCCCAACAATAGATATTTCGAGTTAAATACTGCTTTTCCGACCCTTTTTTTATTTCGCCCTAATTATTAATCAAAGATCTCGATCCTGACACATAATGTTCCTGTCAGCCGCCCAAGATCCATTACAACCTTGGATGGCCACAGCTCATCAATTAACGGCAAAGATGCAATGAGAACCCTCGACTATTGTCAGGTAGCAAAAACCTATGAAATTTTATCAAAAATTAGAAGTCTTTGCGTTGATCTGAAGCAGAAAGACGGATGAATATTTTCGGAAGAAACTAGATCTCCATAATAAATAACTATGAACTGTACTTGACTAAGCTGGGACATTAGTAGGCACTGAGAAATGCTTGAGAAAACAAAATGAACAATAAGACCATGCATATGGCCTAACAGCATAAAATAGTTGAAACTATTCAGCAAAAAAAAGATTCATAGATAAAGGACCTTTCTACCCAGGATAATTCGGGACCTTACATGGCAAACGTCATTGAATCCATCTTGTCTGGGCCTAAGTGACAAGTTCCTTTGAAGTCACAATATTTTAGGATCTTGCATTGTCGTGGCAAACTTTTTTTTGAAATTTAAGTCAGGTCAGGCTTTTTTTTTACTGGATGGACCGCCGGATATAACTTTCTGACTAGAATACCAACAATTCTATTTTATTATTCTTGTACTGTAATGTTTTAGTATTACTAGCTTCGTAACTGAAATAAATTTATTATATATTTTACTTTATGTCAAAGTTGAAAAACTCAATACATTATATGGCCATTTGTTTTGTAAGCTTTTGCCCCTAGCTACCTTTACTATCTAGCAATTTCGAGACTTTCGATGTAGTTTTGCGATAAAATTTTTTTAAATATTTAAAACGTCCGCTAGGGTAATTCGTTGACGAAGAAGTATTTGTTCGGGCAAACATTTTATACACATAGAAAAAGATACCATGACAAAATTCCAGAGTCCCCTCTCTCGGTAGATGAAAGCTCAGACGCGCGTAAAAAAATAATACCATCTAGCCAGATTATGGCCTGCCCTCTTAAAGCATACGCAGGTGGCGATCCTTGTGTGACGCAGCCTGCCAGATAGTTGTCCCAACATCCTCACACTACGCTTCAGTGGCCATAGAACCTAGTGACCACATGCTGTCTAGTAGTTAGTATTTAGGGTCCTATGAGCCCAAAGTAGAGAAGGAGAACCGTCAAAACTGCACGACGCTGTTAATGAACCTTATACAGCATCATTATAGACAGTTATACAGTGTAATAGGAAGGGTTCTGAATAGGTGGAAGGAGGAATAAAGCCTGCAAAGGCTCTTTGGGTAAGCCTATAAGAGGAACAACCGAATGATTAGCGAATTTCAACAAAAAGAACTTGGATATCTATAGTAGGTAGTTCAGTCAGTTTTGATAGTGCAGTATACTATAGGTATACTGCACTATCAAAACACATGAACACGTGAACATATAACCAATTACGTACTCTAACGTAGACACGCTGACAGTTTTCGATATCGATAACTGCGATGTTTTGTGTGAGTGGCCAATGTGCGATAGGTTCGATGAACGAATCGCCAGTCGAATTACAAGCTGGTTGAGATTTATGCTTTCAGCCCCATAAAAAACCGGCTCAGTTGATTATATATATATACTACCGACGCTTATTCAAAATAAAATTGGACCACTAAAACTACAGCATTTCTTTGCTTAATGTACATAGAAGAAAAAATATAATGATATCTTCACAGTTGCGTTATTTGTTACGGTGAAGATAAGGCTGCGGTGAACAGAAGACCATAACTCGGGCCAGTAAGTGGCAGAACCGAGCAAAGACAAATAATTAAGCGAATCAGATTGCAAAATAGCTTTATTGACTTTATAGAATACATTTTGTGGGAAGGACATGCTTTTCCTTTGTAAAAGTAAAACAGGAAAAAAATGTTGCTGCCTTTGCAGTTTATGCATAGTCTATTACTTTCTCTATAAGGAGCCACGAGCTGACTCGTAAGAAATGGTTCCTTGATCGCCGTATGGTTATCGTTGTAGGTCCGTCTTCGAATATCACATAAGGAGCTCTCCTTCATATAATCGCCGCTTGACACGCTAACACAATAAGTACAAAACCATATCTCATGACATGTATGTACCTTGGCCAAGGATTGATAGAAGATTAGGCCTGCGTCGTTTTTTGAGTTCGAGTAAACACGCCAAATATCAATATCTACAAAGTAAAGATCCAAGGTAAATAATTTCCGAAATTACTGGAATTGCTCCATGCCGCGTGTGTATGCTGTATAGGAGCAACGGCTTAGAGGAGCCTTGCTCAAATAGTTCCAAAAAATTATTACTAAAACGCCCCCCTATAGTGTTTCAGAGTAAATATAAAAACCATGCACGATCTTTTCTATTTGCTATGGGGATAGTGACTAACTTGCATAAATAGTGCCCATGTTCTTTGCTGTTTTTTCTCAGAATCCTATTAGTTGACGCACCCGTCATCAATTGGCCACGAAACACATATATGAGCCTTCAATAAAGTCTAAGCCTTTCAATATACAATATATAGAGAAGTACATATTATACATTGTAATCACTTACTCTACGGTGAGTGCACTGCTTCAGCTCAGAACGTGCGGCTTCCATTAGCATGTGCACGTAGATCATCTGATTTGGCAACAGTTATTATATTAATGTTCTCGTATTGTGTGGAATTAGTACGCAATACTACCACCGTCGGTCGTATCCATCTCGTCTGGCCTACACAGAGCTGCTTAGGTCATCTTTGTCTAAATATAATACCATCATTCCGTGAACACAAGCAATGGTCAGCCACCAGCCCACTGGCGCACCTACCTGAGAATCATATGGGGGAGATTCGAGGAGACTCATGGAATGCGTGTTGAGCCCGCCAGGGGTCCATTCGAAAGGACAGCCTGTCAGATCGGCGAGACATCCACCAGTCTCCTCAAGCGAGTCGTCATCGTCGATGTACAGCGTCGATGAGCCCGAGCTTTTAGATCGCATCATGTTTCCACCCCCGCCTCCGCAGCGCTGCGAACTTCGTTTCAAAGGCTGGATCATTATGACGCTTCGATCAGGCAGGTCGAGTCGCTGGAGTAAAGGACAAACCAAGGGACGACGTTCCATCTCAAATTTGGCCATGTATGTCACCGGTGAGCCGTCCCAAGACCCGCTCAAAAGATGCTTTACCGCATCGCTGTTAATGAGATCACTTAAAGCCGACATTTTTTCTTGCTGTTTGCTTTCTGTTCGTTCGTTATTCTCGAAAATGACAAAACAATACTTTCTGTTGTTGCCGATGGTTTCGACAACAATTTTCATGTGCTCTTGTCGAAATGTCTCAGTTTTCGTATATACCTTCGTGGTCGAAGTCGTTTATCCTGTCTTGTTCTTTGTGGAGAAAGAATACATTTTTCTATCCCATTCGATGAGCTATCAAATCTTCTATGTATCGCAACGCTTGCTAATTTCGTCGCAGTTATGGTGTGCAACAGGGTTCTGATAACCTTTTTCTCTGAACAGCACTCCTAGACGCTCACGCCGAGCGATCTACACGATGAAACACTGATGAGCAAAGCGACGTGCAGCAAGATGATGAAAAAACACCGCATTCCAGGTGGCTATAGGGCAACGGAAATATCCTGCACTTCCATTGCGGTAGACCTCACGGATAGGAATATATCTTGATGCTCTCAACGACAGTAACAACGATGACCAACAACATGGATTTTAACCTGTGAAGGATACATCGTTTCAAGTCAAAAAAGTCCCCTTTTCTTTTTTTTTCCCTCCCAGTTTCCCTGAAGTTCCTTTTGTGCCCGCTCCAACTGGTGCTACTATTTCATAAAACGATTGTCACTCTTCGCTAGGCCTGGGCCTCACCTCCTGCTACACACCCAAACAACAGCTATCACCACCACTTTGACAGCGAATTCGTCCCTGCTCTACATTCTATTATTCATGCGAGATGCCCACCGTTGACAGGTAAGCAAGAAAAAAATGACTGATAAATACCTTCCACCTGTGAACAGCCGCACCAAACAAACGCAAAGACGTATTCACATTCCACACTCACCAAAACATACAAAATGCCAGAAACGAAGCCCGCTCACATCCCAGCTTTGCGAATTTTCTCGTTCATTCAATTGGAGATGCACCGATAGCAGCTCATCGGTTAAGATTCCATGAAAATACTGCTGACCGTCGTTGCGGCACTCCGTACTGCTACTGCTGCTGCTGCAGAAACACACAGTTTCTCTGTATACATGCACGAGTGCGGCAAGGAAATAAAGAGTCTCTAGGTACGGACAATACAAAGGAAAGAGGAAAGCGCCAACAGCATCAGACAAGAGATGATAAAAAGATTTAATAACAATCAGAAGAAGAAGGAAGCGAGAAGGCGAGCTCTTCAAAGCTTGAACCTGTTCCGAGATAGTCTATACGAGCAGATATTTTTCACTCAGCACTTTAGTTGCTCAATAGACGCACATGCGCAGCACCAAACCATCACCAGTAAAAGTAAGCTACCAGACACCGACCACGTAAATAAAATCCAGTGACTTTCTCATTGAAAAGCCATTTACTCTCTCTGCTACTGCTTCTCGCTATGGCCGTATCGGACCTGATTTTCTTGCCTGTTATTTCGCTAACATTTTGCTATGTCTGTCGTCGTTGCCGCTGCTGTTGTTGTTGTCGTTGCCCGCTCTCTAATTGCTGCCCTCGCTGTCGGCTAACCGAAACGACGGCAGCATCGCGTGTCACGACTGATTCTGCCGGTTTTGCTGCTGCCGCTGCTGCTGTTGCTGCTGCTGCTGCTGGTGTAGCTGTTGGTACGATGGCCGCGGCGACATTTTTTCGCCTCGCAAACAAGAAATAGATTGGCGCGCTGGTAGCCCTGTCACGTTCGGGTCACACTCGGTTTTGATGGTCGTCGGGGTTTGTGATACCGCCTAAAATGTAGCCTGTGCCACCGCGAATAGGACAGCCGTCGCGACTCAGCAACAAATGCATACAACACTACGAAAGAAATGTTTTTACAACACCCGTTCTGTTACATTTGCGAACGACGGCTAGCGACGACCCGATGACCACGAGTATGAATAGAGTCTACACCATCATCAGCACCACCAGCGCGCTGAGTGGCTAGCGAGATCTCTACATTTCTACATTCTACCCATCCAAGATTCGACTTTAGTGGGCCAGCTGGATCAGCGGTCTGGTCCGATCCGGACCGACGGGCCGACCCGATCGCCGAAATCTTGTGGCGTTGGTGACAGAGAACGGCACTGGCTGCCCACTGCTCGCCAACCAATCCAGACTAGCATAAGAGGTGAGAGCCGCGCCACTACTACCGCCGCCGCTTCGGCTGTCGAGAGCAAAGCGCGCTATAAGGTTCGCCCTCAGCAATGACTAACAGTGAGAGAGAGGGAAAGCTTGGCGTTAGAGACGAGTCTTCGAAGCATGGAATAATCCGTTAAGCCGTTGCGTGCACCACTTATGTCGTTCGGCTATGTCCCCCTGAAGGTTGATCATTGCATGAGCTTCTGTTCGGCTTTCCTTTTATCCTGTAGCAATGGCCGCTATCCAAGCCTCTCAGCTAAGCGCCATTACCCAAACTCGATGTCTGACAACCACGTCCGTCGAAGCTGAGTTACTAATGATCTGGCTTGATTCGGCACAGTACACTGCAACCGCCGCAGCGAAGGTGGCCGACACGGTACGGTCGCGTGCTGACCGTCCTGACAACACAGAGAACGCGAGCAACAGCAAAGGCCACACCGCAAACCAACCAAATGACTTACTGAACAAACAAAATCCGAGCTGAAGCCCGGTCTTCTCTCCCAATGGGTTGGTTAGACGGCAGTTGCTACTGACGATGGCCACCACGGGGTAACGAGACAGCTTGGTTGGTATAGGCAAGCTCTAAGCTATACTACGAGTGAGTGGGAGCTTACCCTTCCACTGGGCCACGGGCCACCGCGCCAACGGAACCCCCCATGTGCGGCGGAGCGAAAGAGCGAAGGGTCACAAAGGATTTAGGATATGGCTAACATAGAGTAAGACATTCTGCATTTGGTGATGGATGTTCTACTTCACCCAAAAAAAAAAGCAAATAATGACAAATCCAGGCAGATGAAACATGAAAAGAAACGTTACTGTACAAAGCACAAAAACCTTACATTGTACTGACAATCACCCCATCACAAAAATACACTTCCAACGATAAGGTTGCGCCAAATATAAAGAACACCAGGATCGCCGATTAACACATTTTTGCTCACAAGTACCGCTACAAATATTTGGCGCTCTGATGAATAGGACAACGAGCCGCGCCGAAGCAGACGAAAGTCCGCGAATCTTTAAAACGTAATGTGGTTACACTTAACCACCAAGAGAAATATATAAAAATAAATAATCGATGGCTACAAGCTGAGCACAGTTTGTTGATAAGCGCAAAACGAATAGATTTGAAAATTCTAAAAATGTTATTAAGTGTCGTATGATATACTCAAAATGTACCTCAAATGTGCCATGCTCGAGTCGTAAAAAAATATTGAATTTAATTTAATGAGCTTTATTATAATAACTAAGTGATACAGTCATGTCCCAAAAATACTAAAAATGAATACAAAATTAGCGCTTTAATTAAAGTATTGGCGAAAGGGCTGTTAGTCTGCCTTTTTTTCTAACATAATTTTCCTGATATAGACGTAACCGATTTAAACACCGAGCAAACGTAGGTATTTAGAAATATTTTTACTAGGGCGTTTCTTGAGAAATATTATTGATGTAAGTTAAATATTATTTTTTAAAGTTTTGTCGCAGGATTTTTCTAGCAGGAAAAACCACAAAATTTTGATCTGGATTTTTTATATTTTCTTAATTAAATAAGAATTAAACTAACGAAGCGTTTCGACGAGGAGAGTATGGCTCCACTGCCGCATCTAACAATGGCTTAGAAATTCAGGCATAGTTTTACTGATAATAGTGCGGTGCTATTTAACGGAGCGATTCATTTTTCTATAGTACATATATATTTTGTAATAATAGTCCTGCAATAATTGAAAAACGTTGCATATTATGGGTTAGCTACACGGTAGTGGAAATAAGCGGTCTACCGTTTCTTTTTTTCATTAACAATCAAGCGAGGAAAAGCAAACGAAAAATGTGTTATTGGACGACGTTGCAGCTAGGTTCAGCGCATTGTAAGATAAATTCAGTTGCATGCGATATGTAATGTAATAGTATTCAATGGTCATATGGTCTACGCAGCACTTTTCCGTATCTAGTATTCGTGGATCTCTGCTTGGTAATCACTGCGGCCCCTTGAAACCTCTAATGGGATCTAAGCCAACATATATAACAAGCATATTCCAAGCTGCACAAAGCGCTGGAAGGGTAAACGACAAAACCGAGGCTCTAATTAGCAAATATGCAGAAAAGCGTTTGTTCAATAACTTAAAAGATAGAATAAGTAAAAAAAAAAGCTAAAGGATAAGAAAAACAGCATAACCTATTAATCGCAAAACCATATCAGCAATATTTGCTCCACATCTGCCACCTAAGTTTGTCAAATGATCTCCAAGCGACCAAGTTTATATTGAGACATTTTGAAATATACGAAGTAACTATTGTTCAGGATTCATCTGTGAAGTGTTTAAATTTTAAGCGTCCAATCCTAGCGACAGGTAAATCCTTGGTAAGGAAATCGCTTCGGGCAAACGTCATTATTACAAGCATTCATATTCGATATCTTACACGATGGTGTACTCATGCGTTTAAACAATTTATGACATATTAGTACAGAGCAAACATTCCTCTCAATTTCAATTAAATGCGTTTTCGTAAGTTATTGTTGGGTCTTCATATGCTGTCTGTTATTTCTCTTGTACATTATTTGTTTATTTTTCCAAAACAAGACAGTAATTCCATGTAGATAACATATACGAGACTAAAAGCTATCGTTTCCTTTTACAAAAACAGTGCGCCATCTGACAGAAACACAAAATTCGATTGAGGGGCTTTTTTAGGCGAAACATAGAAAACAAAGTCACATGGGTAATATCAGAACTTTTTTAAGCGGGTTACCGAGTAAAGAATGAAATATTTATGCTTCCTGCATATACATCCGAAAAATACCGGATATAGATATGTATAGAAATGCAAAAAAGATCGTAACCAATATGGAAAAAAAATATCTTTTATGAGGGATCCTATCGTTTCACGTATAATGTTAGTGGGAAGGTTAATTAATAAAATGCGCTGGCTTTCAATCGAATCCGGTCCCGATCGCGAGCCATTGATTCATCGTGTACAGTCTACAAAGCTCGTTGTTCCCCTCGCCTGCGGTAGGGTAAGGGAAGCCGTGGCTAGCAGGAGAGCGCATCATAGAAAAGGTCTTATACTTTTGGGTGAACCATATGTGCAGCATGGCCGATCCTTAAATCCGTGATCGGCGGGACACTCAGATGCGTCAGTGATTTGCACTTCATCGAACGTGAACTTGGATAATCTTTTGATCTTGATGTACCCTTTAGTAAATATTGGATCCGTGCTTTACTTTTCTTTTAATGAAACGAGGCAGCTCTAACATAATATTATTAGCTTCGTTCTATTTTCGTACTATGTAGATATTTACCAATCGCGCTACATGTGAGATAACAGTGGGCTGACTAGAAAGTGAATCTAACGGAACTTTCATTAGGAGAACGTTGTGTTTGGCCCACAAAGCTAGGCTGATTTCTATTTAAAAGAACGCGTGAAGCCGAGAATCAACCAAGCTACATCAGATCAACATGAAATCCGTGTATTTGGTGCTAATTTTGATGATTATGGGCACCAGTAGAGGATATGAACATAGTCGACAACGCTGGAAGAGGCATCTCGCCTCGGAGGCTGGGAGGATGCCTCACAACACCACGCACAACTTCAATATTGAACTTCTAAAGGAACCGCGAAAGGTGAGGTTCCTGTTATACATTGACAGCACAAGCCGTTCTTTATTAGGTTGACTTGGTTGTCATCACGTGTATACATGTATAAAGGTATATTAGGCACAAGTCGGCGTTTTTCCCCGCAAGAAGTTGATTTTAAAACATGGGAAGTTAGCATATTAGTAAACTAATCAACTAGCAGTTGTGCCAAGCCAACGCAGTGATTAATTTATCATATATTGTACTACTGAAGGTTTAGGTCCGCGAACCTAGCCCAAAACGAGCTCCTAAAGTACATGCATTAGGCTAATCTTTTTACGGATTCCTAGATTTTTGTCCTGGAAAAAGTTCTGTGGAAAACGAGGCCGACTAAACAAACGCGTTTAGCCCCTCTAATTTCCCTCCATAGAGCGTGTTAATTTATTTTCTCGTAAACAAAAGCCGTCAATCTCTCTATAATTTGGCCCCTTGACACTATTGTCCACAGACATAGAGGCGGATAGGTGCGTCGTTCTCGCTTAAATATCATCCAATGTATATTTTTGTGAAAATTGCATGAACAAGCGCGTCTTAATAGAACAAGCTGCAGAAGCCAAAATCCGAGCATAGTGATCTAGTATTACATTAAAGTAAATATGTTCAAATTTAAGAACACATATATATGTACATATATATCGTTTTACTATTTACAATAGCTTTTTCTTTGTCTCATTATTTCTTTAAGTTTAACAAGACTTGGCGATGTCCTTTGAGCTGCCGGAATTTAACATAGCCTACTTTAAAAAAGTAAGAATTGTAGGAGAAAGAGAAGAAGGTCCTTTAAAGTAGAAAAGAATTCGTTTTCGATTGTGAGTCGCATCAGTCCGAAGCACTCTTATAAATCAAGGAACCATCTAAAAAACGCTAGAATTAAAAACGTTAGAAAAAAAAACACAAAAATTGGCTATTGGATGTGTCGCAAATTTGCGCCTGTCAAAAGATTGTGGATTAGCCTGCCCATTCAGTCTGTTGCTGTGGGATGATTTTTAGGCTTATTTCACGACTACAACATACAACCTTGTCATCGTATTGTTTTCGTTAAATGCACCGCAGTCTGATTTATAGAGTTTCGTTCTTAGATGTATGATCTACCCGAAGGTCTGTGGGCAGATGGAGGTCTAATCATACGTCCTTCGCGCTTAGTCTTGTTTATGCAGGTCTCTAATTGTTTCTGATGCACTAAACGCAGCCGCGTGTTCAAGGAGTAGCCGTCTTGGCCTAATCCTTGGAGTTATTTGCGACGGTACGGTCGTTTGTCCCTATTCCATCACCTCCAGAACTTCTAACAAATACCCAATCAGAGGGTCCGCGGGAACGGTTAAGCCGACCTACTCCGATCTTAAGGATAATTATGCAGGCTTCTAATCAACTGTAAGATTTTCTACTAAAAATCAACGCTTTATACTATCGCTACTGTAAAAAATGAAAGCTAAAGAAGCATATAGTTTAATGGATAATTTTTCAAAACTGAGTGATAGGGCTGCAACTATCCAGGACCACTTTAAAGATGAATGATAAAAAACTGCCTTGGCGATTACGTCAATCGCTAAACTCTGTCCATTAGATATGGTTTTAGTTCGAACTCTCATAGCATTATACATTGCGCTTATATTAGTTATTTAAAATCTCATATAAAGTTATAGAAGATTCTTAAACAGCTGAAATTGGCTAGTGCCTTATAATTGATTTCGGCAGTTATAGAAGTTATATGTTCTATTTTACCCATTTAGGCTATACTTGATTTGATGCTCATAATTATTTTGGATAATTTTCGTCTTGCTACAGCCAAACGAAGGTATCTAAAAGCCAACAATTTATCTTACACATATCCTTTTGTTTCACTGAAAGAGGTTATCGGTAAATTGGCACCCAATATTGGCTGCGGACCGCTATGTCTTTTCTCGCGCTAGCTTTTTCGCCAAACCCAGCTTCGAACAAGCGTTGCCCGTCTTTTGTTCTCCTTACTAAATTAACTCTCAATAACTGTCTTCGTTCGCCTTCCGTTATACTCTCACGCTTTCCATCCGCACTTTCACACGGACTTCAGTATAATGGTGGAGCTCTCGTGGCCGCCACTACTATCACGAAATGTAATTACAATGGACAGTTGCAAATGCACGGTGTTGTTCGTCTACTACAGTAATCGATCTCTCGTTTGCGTTTGCAATATAAATAACAAAATGCGAATCCAACGTTGTCGTGTGGATCGAGCTGTAGTTTGAGGCTACAACGACGCTTGAGACCATTTGCCGGTGAGCGAACGACCGCCAGCAGCCGTATCTGTGATTTATTGGCGCTCGTCTGCAAACCACCCACTTACTCGGTGTCCCCTTTGATGGAGGCAGTACAGTGTCTATTTCGACAATAGATCAGGACGAAGCGATGAACGATGGGAAAACGCGAGCAAAAATTGCTTGTTCGTGTTTGTGTGTATGCGTGTATGTATGTATGTATGTGTATGTGTAAGGATACATATTCCATATGAACGCGTGTGTGCGCCTATTGTTTGAGTTTATAGAGCAAAAAGATTTAAACCGTTAAGTATATTCAGTTTTCAAACGGCTGACGATACACCTAAAAAGACCGTCGTATCATCTCCCATTGACATTGATCTAAATTTGATATTAGCAACATTTTGAAATGGATATTGATACGCATGAGCACATATTTATGCAGATCTATAGATACAAGCTTACTATTCGTACTACCGATCTCTGTACTTTTTTTCCACGCCTGGCTGATTCTACTTGACACGTATTACATGTTTATGAAGCATTGACACACTGCAGCTATACCTATTTAAAATCAGTTCAGGCTCTACTCTATCTAAGTCCTTCCATTAAATATCGCTAAATTAGGCGTTAATTGTACGCGAGAATAATTTGGCTGATAGCTGCGCCAGCGCGTTATCGAAATGCATATATGATTATATCTAACGGATAGTGCACTGATCGACTAAGGCGCCTCCTAGGAAGTTTATTTACTTAACTAACATCTCCGAAGTGGGCAGAACCAGTGAAGGGCCCCATAAAGCCCCATAAGAAACAACGGCACATTCGCGGCCAGCGTAAACATCGCTTTTCAAGACAGTGGCTTCCATCCGTGCTTTTCAACTGTGCGCGATGAACAGGCGACAAGAGCGCCACCACGTCACATATGCATCCGCCATCTGGTCAGCGCGGGCAATGAGAATGGAGCTGTCCCTCGTTGACGCACCAGACGAAGGCACGGGGCGAGTGAGACAAAGCCAATAACAGGATCTGACCGCTAAGCAGACAGCTGATATCTCAACGAAATTCAAAAGCCAACAATCACAGAATATATTTGTTTCTGAGTTTTCGGCTTTTTAAATGGCCTAGATTTAGATACATGAATCAATTAGCGGAGACGTTTAGTAGATAAACGGTGGTCGTCGTCAGCGTAAGGGATACAGTAAAATACTTCACAGAACAATATACAGATAGCTTTTAGCTAATATAAAGAGAAAAGCTATAAAGACATTACTGTGTAATGTTTCCATTGTGCCTAGTCAGACAAAATCATTCTGTAATAGCTTGTGTGGCCTATTCATGCCAATACATCTCTTTTATGTGTTATAGTCTACTATGTATAAGATAAAGTAATAAAGTAAACATAAAAACAAGAAGCTATCGGTAAAATTAGTCAGACAGTAATATGCATTTTTTACATTTAGGGTTAAATAGTTATCCATTTTCGGTAACCCATAGTAGTTTTCGGAAAGCGTCTAAGTTTTCCACAATAATCATTGCTTATATGGTGGCCGTTAAACAGCTTTGCGGGTTCCCAGGTAATGGTGCAGCCTTCAAAGTTATTTGCATTGAGGAAGCAGACGATTTAGAGACGTGTAGAGCACAACACCATCATTGAAAGTTCCCTGAAGGCAAGGAAGAAGTACGTCAAGTTTCTAACGGTACAGAAAAGTCATGCTGAATCCACTCCACTACTCTTCTTCGAGGCTACCGATTTAATTTACCCATATAATTGGCTGAAGACAAGACTGAAAAGCACTTTATCGAAAGTTCGCAGTCTTATATCCCATAGGAGACATATCTGGTTGATATAAACCGAGATATATGTGTGTGTTTCTCAGAGTGAGCTTTTTTTAAAAAAGAAATGACCACGTTGGTATACATAATATCAAATGAAACATAACATTATAAAAAAAATACAGTAACAAGGGCACGAATACGAAAGGGGCTAGCATTTAACCAACACTGGGTTGCTTTGGCGCCTTTCAGCCGAATTCGTTTCATTTACAATTCGACCTACCCATTTTGAATACTCCACCGCCACGTGCACACAGTTTCCCGAACCTATCCACAAGAACAATTGTAGAAACTCCCCGAAACTATAAAAATCAAGCCCGAACGTCCGCTAAACTCCAGCGTCCTCGTTCGCCGAAAGCAACAGCTTTTAGCATAAACGGTAAGTTGCTATTAATGAAACACTTGACAAAATTAAGTTTACTAGATGGTGTTAATTTTAAAATTTGCCATGAATTGCGCGCGCTTTATTCGAATTTTTTAGCTAATATAAAATCGATATAATTATCAGCACTGAAATATTTCAGCAGATTATGGTTTTCTGTTGGTTAATTTATATCCGTATTCTATAGTATAATTTTGTATCCGTATATTTAGATAGTTGTTAGAGTGCTTGTCACATACAATCAACTGATACGAAGAGGCGCAATAACATGATTAGAGTTTATAATTGTAGATGCACAGTAGTAGAAATGACAACCTTCATCATCTATTCAAACCCTTAAAAACGCCATTTTTTGTTCTAATACACAACAGTTATAAAGTTTTACCAGCTTGTTGTCGACTTACCTAATTGCCCTTCTGTAATTTTTTTAACCTCTTATAACATATTGAATCATCGATAATGAGATTATACTGGTATTTGCGCCTAGAAGAAAAATAAAACTATTTCAAATATATATATA